GGCTGGATGAAGGTGCTGGCCTTCTTGGCTGCAGTTCCACTGGTTTGGCGGACTGAACAGGGAGCAGAGGAAGTTGTTGACGCGCTCACGTCCTATGCCCAGAGGACAATAGCCGAGGTTGAGGAAGTCTCGGTAGAGATTGTCCAGGTGACAGGAAGGATTGTCGTGTCAGCAGTCCTAGCCACAGGGATGGGGATCCTGTGGTGGCTTGGAAACCTTGTCCGGAACAAGTTGGTCAAGTCAAGCCATGGCAACTCCCTGCCAGCCCGTCTCTTGGAGCTCAAGCCTTCGAAGAATTCGAAATCAGCCGGAGGTTCGACTTGGGAGGTCACTGGAGGAAGAGGTGTCCACCGAGTCTGGATCGGAGAGGATGGTCAAGGGGCATGCGCTTGCAGGGCGTACCTCGCCAGTGGGGTTTGCGGCCACATTGACTCGGCCATAGGAGAAGCTCGTAGGCTGAAGGTGTATCCTGAGAAAGAGGTCAGGTTCGCCAAAGGTTCCGCGGCAGAAAAAGGTGCGGCCTCACTACTGGCGTTGGGCGCGGAAAATGCGACCCGTGAAAAGAGGGTATGTTTTGAAGGGGTGGCGAAGAAGGCTAGGGAACTGTGGTTGAAGCCGTCGTCGCCTCCGGGTTCGCAGGGGTCAGAATCTGGTTGCTTTGGGGGAGTCAGCAAGATGACTCGTCAGACGAAGTTGAAATCAGATGATCGGGTGGCAAAGGAAGCAACCGCTGGTTTGAATGTCCAGCTGGGGTTGGAAAACGCCCCCGCCGCCCAAAACCTGGAGATCGAGTACGTCCGAAACAAGGAGGCGCAGGTTCGTGCTGTTGAGCTTCTGCAGCAGAACCCAAAAGCGTCCGTACGAGTTACGGCGTACAGTTTCGACCAACCAGATATGGTTGAGGTGATCAAGGGTCATCAGGGGTTCGTGCGAATCCTAGTGGACGCTGGGATGACACACGAGTCTCGCACGAAGATGCAACTTCAGAGCCTGATGATGCTCCGAAATGCCGGACATAGAATCCGGGTATGTCGAGGAAGATCCCTGAGCAAGGCCTATGCAGAGGACAGCAGGTCGACAACCGCAGGGTCGGGCTTGAAAGGGATCCAGCACTCGAAAACGTGCTTCGTGGAAAATGGAAAGGTTGGGCACTTGGTGGTCGGGAGCTGTAACTGGACTACAAGCTCAAAGGCCAACAGGGAATCCGGAGTGGTGATCACCGCTGATGTGGATCACCGAGTGTTCCAAGCCTTCAAGGAGCACTTCGAAGAGGATTGGGAAGAGAGCCAGGTGTTCGATGAGGCCGACTTCCAATCCTCGCAGGGTCAAAGGCCGAAAGCAGGCAGGAAGCAGAGTTCGGCTTCCGCGGACTGACTTGTCCGGCTGGCCCTGCGGGTAGCGTGATCCGGTTCGGACCGCTACCGCGGGCTACGCAAGCAGCTTGAAGAGCCGCAGCCACTGTAGTTCCTCCGGCTGAGGGGCGAATGTGGATAGAAGCATGCGTAGCCCTCTAGTAGTTGCATGTGTTTCACTTTTGGCTCAAGCCGCTGAATGGTTTGAGGTTGAGCTCGGTAGGTAGCTGTAGGTAGCCGCTTAGCTCTGTTTCACCGCGTGAACGACCGCTCGGACTGAACTCGTGAGCGATAAACAGCTGCGCGTGCGCGTTTGACCGTCGACGCGGTCAAGACCGTTCGCGTCGCTCACAATTGGGGGCTGTTCTGGGAAATATCTCCTTGTTTTGGGAGAGCCCTTGCGGTCCCTAGGTTGCGGTTCGCACCTGGGACGCGGACTGGGATCGCGGGCGGAAGCTTGCGATTCGCAGCTCCGCCGCGGTAGAAAGAGACATGAGCAAAGAAGTTGCCGATCAGCCTGAAGGAGTCACTCTAGGGGAATGTATCGCAGACGGACGGGTCCCGGTCCCTGAAGAGATGAGTTTCTTCAAGTGGCAAGCCTGGAGAAAGGTTGAAGGTAAACGTCCTACGCGAAGACGAGACGGGAGAGGAACGACGACTGTTGAGGAAGTGGCCTTGTGATACCCGTTCGAAGGTACGCTAAAGGTTTGACGCAGGATTTTATTTTATAAAATCCTTTCGGGCTGAGGTCATTCCTTTATTTTTTTGTGTGCCAAGGTTGGCAGCCAAAAAAAAAAAGATGGTTTTGAGCATTTATGGAATCCTGCGTCAACCTGTTTTATGGAATCCTAGTACAGAGGTTGAAGAAGCTCATGTGTAACAAACATCCTGGCATATTAAAGTCCTGGTTCAGGGGTGTCCCTGCACGTGAGCTCTACTTGTCCTACCTGCGGAAGATGCCGATGCATCTGCAGAAAGAGATCAGAGGAGATAAGAGGCTCTGGAAGGGCGAAACGCTGCTTAGGAGCCCTCAGACGTGGGAAGAGGCACATAGGGTTGTTCTGGAGTTTGAACAACGAGAAGCAACTCACAGAGCAACTGCCAACGCCGTCTACTCGTATGGAGATGAAGTGGGCGGTGGACTCTCGAAGAAAGATGCAAAAAAGGCAAAGCAAGAAGCAAGCAAGGCTGCTGCGGCCGCGGCTGCAGCTAAGGCGGCTGCCGCTGCTGGTGCTGCTTCAGGTTCACAGGGCGTCCTGGCGACCAAGCAAGAAAAGATCTGCTTCCACTTCAGAGACCACGGGAACTGTCCGAAAGGGAGTTCCTGCCCATGGTCACATGACAAAGAGCTAAGAAAAAAGGTCCTTGCGGCCATGAAGGCCAGCGGAGGTAAGGGGGAGAAGCCGGACCAGACCTTCGCGGCTAAGGGGCAAAAGGGGAAGCAGAAGGGAAAGGAAAAGGGCGCCGGGAAGGGCAAGGGTCAAGGGAAGGGACCGAAACCTCAAGGTACGCTTTGCCCGTTCTTCCAGAAGAATGGCGCGTGCAAGAAGGGGGCTCAGTGTGACATGGTCCACTCCTTGCCAGTCACTGGAGGAGGGAAAGGCGGAGGTAGCCAAGGAACGGGGGGTAGTTCTAGCTTGCCTACAGGGTGGAGCGCTCCTTCAGGCGCAGCGATGAACAACCCGTTCGCCGCGTTTTCAGTTGTGATCGGAGGTGTGGTAGGGTCCGCGGGGGCTGTTTCTCGTTTCGAGAGCGGCGCCGCGACTCAGCCGCCCCAAGTGCTCAGTTTGGAGCAGCCTTCGAATCCTGCGGACGGGAAGTCGCGGTTCACTTCACTTGATGATTTGCCCAAGGATTGGTTCCACTTGGCCGAGAACGAACCAGGTGGATACCAATACAAAACAGTTGTTCGAGTCTTAGACAAAAAGGTGGAGACAATGCTAGATGGCTGCGCGGGCTCCAATCATCTGACCGAAGAACTGGTGGTTGGAATGTTGAACCGGGCAGCAGAGTTGAACATCGCACCGAACGACAAGCGCTTTCCGGTGGTTCGTTTTGAGAAGTGGACGTATCCGGAGTACGTTCATGGAATAGCTTCAGGAGCTCCAGTGCCTTTGAAAGGCGCTGTGGTGATCCGAGTTCGGTTTTTGGAAGGCGAGCAGCCTGAAAGGACTAAGGATGGTCCTGAGATCCTAGTCCGGTGTAAGGTGGCAGCTCGAGGCACGTCAGACTGGCATGGCCTTATTTTAGGGGGTCGAGCTTTGGATTGCGAAGCTAAGTCTGGCTTGGGCTTTAGACCAGGCCCTGATGCTCATATCCTAGACACTTTGGGCATCAAGATCCCGCGATGCGAAGATCTGAGCAGGCAGCGCAAGGATCGGGCTTATGCCTTCCATTCCGTTCTGTCGAGTCTCGACGGACCTGAGGGGT